TATATATATATATATATACTTAAAGAGAATCCATAAACAAAAAAAATATTTGTATCGATTCGTGGATATCATATGATTGGATTTTCTCAACTGCGTGTCCTATCTTATTACAATTAAACAGTCCGTAAAACATTATAAATGCAACCGGAACCTGAACCTCATTAAAAGAGAATAAAAAAGAAGGGGCGCGCGTGTTCACGTAGCACAAAGACTAGATTTCGTAATTTCTCGGTTACACATTATACTTGCACGACAATTCTGTGATTCATGTATGGCCATGCCGCGTAACAGTAGTAATAAATTATTACTCTACATCTGTGGAATCTTGTATCATCGTTTGCTAGCTGATTTTAATGAATGCACGGAAGATTTTCTGACGTCGTCATAGAGTAATAATCGATTCTTGGTACGTAAAAGAAAGATCCCGGTATAATAGGATATCATATCGTTTAAATAATCAATGACTCTTGTTCTATATACAGAACAAGTATGATTTGTTTCATTGCCAATTCTTCTATTGTTTCTTTTTTTTATTTATCCATAATAAATCGTTCACCTTTTTTGGTTCATTTCAGATTGATTGGAATTCGAAGGTGACAAGACCAATAGGACCAACGCCCACATACTTCAACTATCGTTCCGATCATCGATCATAATGAATTAACCATTCTGACGTAAGAAACTTGTGCTTTTACTACAAATATCATATGTCCACGTTTCAGAAATACGTTTAATTATGAAGGTTGTACTACACTTTTCTGTATGTTACAATACATTTAGATCGTACGATCTAAGGCAAGGTATAAAGTATCATCGTTAAATAAATATTAAATTTTACATAGTAATTGTTATATGTTCGAAAAATGCATATAGACCAGAATATAAAATTTGATTGTTGTAAAAGTTGACCGGATTACAAATATTGATATCAAAGGAAAGGTGAACGTAGCCTTTCTCCTCGCTTTAATTTCACACGGGCTAAGTGTACATTCTTCAATGTGCATTTATGGATGTTAAGTAACATCTTTTCAAAACAGCTCGATTCGAAACATTTAAAATAAATATTTGATAAACGATTGACATTGTTACTAACTATGAGAGTGCAGTTAAAGTACAATATTTTACGAATAAAACTAAATAAAAATCAATATGTTATAAACTATTATTATAAAATATTATAATTAAAATATTTCATGAAAAGCAATACTACATTAATTTTGATAACTACTTATTAGATATAATTTGAAAGAACTGAAATCACAAATTTTTACATAATATAGAATAAAGTAATTACTACGTTTAAAACTTTTAAAATTT